GTAAATGATAAGTAATCCAAAGGTTCTTCTTCCAGTTATTGTTTTGAGATTGTAAGCAATAAAAATTCCAAGGGATTCTTCCTCCTTTTATTATTTTGAACTGTTGACGTGGCAAAAAATCCAAAAGTTCCTCTCCAAAATATCGTTTTGAACTATAATGGATTTTCTACTCTTGCAGTTCACTCCGGCTCGAAAAGTGTAGGTTCATACGCGTTCACCCAGTCAGAGACCAACAACACGATAATTCTGGGAGAAAACAGTTCAAAACGATATTACACCTTCGAGTTTCCAATTACCACACTGGGTTCCGTTTCTGGAAGAATAAATGCTTCTAGTCCGTTACTGCTAGGGTATCAAATCCAAAAATGGCTGTAGCCATATTGAATATCAAATTTAAACAACATATGTACAGTTCAGAAGCAAACATAAAAACTTCAATATAAGTACAAGATATAGAAATAATAAGAATATACAATGATAAAATCTCAAAATGGAATCAAATAAAGTACCCAGATGTCAACAGAAAGAGTCAGTAATATCATAACACAAATATATATACATGGAGGGATTTTCCAAAAACAAAACATTCAAAATAGATTCTACATACAGTGAAGATGCATTAACGTACGTCAATAAACATACTGTGTGCTCAGTTTGGACAATTTTAGATAAAATTACAAGAGTCCTAATTAAAGTCAGATGCAAAATATATCCAAAAAGCAAATAAATAACGACGTTGTCCAATGAAAAACTATAGAGGTATTTTGACAGTATTTTTTCCGTTATATCGATCATATAGGATGACTCAACCAATCGGGAAGAATCACTTTGACTTCTCACAGAGCTGAATATATCCATTAGCTTTGAAGGTCAATTCAAATTTGGAACATAGAATAAGATGGCAAAACGGCTCAATAGTCCGACAAAGAAATTGTGAGAAACATTTTCAGGTTCTTATGAAACACTGGGAATGATAAAAATTTGAATTTATCACAAAACAGTTTAAAAACTAGAACTTCTGCCAAAATGATTTGGGTCGATGTTCGCTATATGTGTTTCGGGTTACTTAAGATCACATAATCAGGATTCATTCAAAAGAGATTTGAAAGTCATTGACGATTTTTTATGTATGGTGATATTTGTCGTTTGAAAGGGAACTGAAATATCAAAATTCCTTGTTGTCAGAAATAAACAAGGACTTAGGTCAATAGTTGTTCACCAATGAAGTTGATACACCGATTGATATTGCCATGTTTGTACGTAAAATTATTGATTAGAATGCAAAGCTGATGTATTTTAATTGCATTTAGGATTATATTTCTTAATAATTTTAGAATCAGTGGCAGAACTGTGAATTTGGGGATGTTGTATGAATACATATTTCAATATAATCCTACCTTTTCTACGTTTTGTTGTGACACTCTTTGCATACGTATATAGCAGCAGATGATCAAGCGTGTCTGCGAGATTTACGAAAAGCACAAAAGTATTTTTTATCTACTTAAAAACCCCATGTTATCAGACACAAAGCTGTTAAATACTGTGTTCGTGTTTCAAGGCACTCCATATTTGATCGATTGCAAACCAACAGCTTTGATGATTTTAATTGTGAGCAGCGAAATTTTTTTGGTCTAGTTAAATTTATGGTTTTAATCGTTACTACGCAATGAAACAGTTGCTTTCTATGTACCTACGTTAATTTAATTAAAAGTGACACAAAAGGTATTGTTTTTGCTTAAATGTAGTTTTGCGCATAAATTTTACTGTCTGTTGGTTTCTGGTTGGTTTGTTTTACTGAAGTGAGAACTGTGAGATGAGTGGGGACTTAACACCTTTTCTTTAGGTTGTCAGTGTTTGGTCCTTGGGGACTTTAATGCATCTTCAGCAAATTTTCGGAAGATCCTTTCGAATAAAATCTAGTCAACCCGATATTAGACCTGCCTAGTGTAACATTTGAAAGAATAAGTCAGGCAGGACTCGGAATTCAAGTCATGGTTATCAGTTCTTACATTGACTCATTATGAGGATGACGTCTCAAACCTCGAATGTTGCCACCAAAAAGTAAGAATTGCCGAGCAGTTCTAGTCTTTGATTTCCATAACGTTATCCACAACGAGACGGTAGCCCTGGCCAGAGCCGACGTTCGGGAAGCATACACACAGAAATTAAACACTTATTATCCTTAGTATATTGACTCAGGTAAGTCCCTGGAGTCTGGTGAAATTCATTCAAGACTTCTCAAGGAGATAGCAAATTTAATCGCAAAACATTCGTATGGGTTTGTTTCAGTGCCTAGACGGAAACCAGATTCTTTATGAGAAACAGCACGGCTTCAAACATGCTATTCATGTCTCACAAGCCGTTAGCAGCCTGTCAGAGTTGGAGCGCTGTTAAAAGTTACCCACAGAGACAGACTCACTGACATTAAAAAGGCTTTTGATAAAGACCCTTAAAACCCGCCTTCATTTAAGTTGAATGATACCGGTAATGACGGTAACTTAAACGAATTAAAGGGTTTCTAGTCAGACTAAAACGAGAGTACGGGTTTGCTCTAAGTTGCCTAGCTGGGAAACTGCATAGCGAAGCTCCTTGAGGCACAGTTTTGGGGCCAGTGTTATTCTTCCTGTGTGTAAATTACCTCTCCAGTCTCTTGTGCTCATCGGTTTTGTAAAACGTTGACGACATTATGATATGGAGAGGTAGCAAATGGAGGTGAAAGTACTCCGTTTTAACGTGACCTACAGAAATAATGTGGATTGTCGGGAATATTGAAGTCGCCGATAAAAATTTGCATGTTAATCATGATGCACGGTGGTCACCAAGGTCACCTAATACTAGGAACCGTACCAAAAGAACAAGAATCAAGCACAAAGAAGCCAGTAGGCTGATACTAGCTCGTGAAAGAGATATTGTATACTGAAGGTACTAATATGTACATAGTGAATAGTACTGAGCAACTTGTTATCTAGATGAACATTGACCTAAGTGCCATAAATAGCCAGGACTTGAACACTACTGCGCGCTACTGTGCGTTAGCCTCCAAAGGTTTTAGAACTGTGATGTCGAAAAGCCTTCAGTCATAACTATGCTAAAAGCTAAAAGACGGTGAGCTGTTGGAAAAAGCTCATTAAACCGCAACCAAGTTGGTTCTCGGAACCACAAGGTGACCGTATAAAGAGTGACTGTCTACGCTGAACCAATTCCGATTGCCATATATAAGGACTATACATAACTACAGATTTTAAATTACCGATTTATAAATTTGCCAAAACACTGAATTTATGCGGACACTATATAAAGTTTGTAAACCCAGAACCGATTTCGTGTCAGCTGAAAACCTACTTCAGATGAAAGCTTCTCCTATTCCTTTCACAACCTTTTGAACAGCTTGGATTTTACTATCGGACACCTAACTTCTGCACGTGAATTAAGCTCTGTCCGCTGACGCGTTTCAAAGAAAAACATATCAGTACAGAGACCGAAGTTGCTAAGATAAAAAGAAGTCACTCAATCCGCTGTCCTTTCTAGAGAAAAACTGATGTGGTGAGGGTTTGTTAATCGAAATTTATCACACACATGCCCATCTAGCTCATAATCTGATAAGACTAAAGATTTAAGAATGAGATTCTCCCATCTCACCTCATGAAAGGCTTATCATCAACCGAGAAGGTGTTTTTTCTAGACCATCTATTCCTTAGTGTATCTTGGATTGGGTATTGAATAAATATATTAAATAGTTAAGAAAGGCGCTTCTTACAAAACGTTCTGGGGGCACTATTTTCAATCTGCGATTTGTGATCATATTATAACTCTAATGTGTTCGGAGGAAAAGGAGATGGTATGAGCTTCGTTTAAATGACCTTTCTTAAGTGCCCTCTATGTATGGAACCGATGGAGGCGGACGACATCTCGTTTTACCCATGTGATTGTCGTTACCAAGTAAATAAATGTTTTCCCATTTTAAGTGATAGGTATGTCGGTTCTGTTGGGCTAAGATCATTAACGAAGAAAATGGGCTTTGCCCGGCTTGCCGAAAGGTAGGTTCTGACAGTTTATACAACATAGTTCAGGAATATAATTCAGAGAAACCGGCTTCCTATAAACCTATTTCAGAAGCTGAGTAAGTAATGCGTCTGAAATTTACTCCTATCTTAGGGAGTCCCGTTGCAGATCAAGCAGAAGGCGCAAAGATTACATCAAGAAAACGAAGCTAAATCCGGAAATGCTCAAAATCCTCCCAGAGTTAAGGTAGTAAATATTTAAATTATGATATTGTTGGCTAGGGTCGTACAGCCAAATCTCATATTTGTTGTCGGTTTACCTACATGGATCTCAAAGGATAAGGATATACTTAAAGGACAGGATTATTTTGGTCGGTATGGAAAAATATTTAAAGTAGAAGTTAACCAAAACCAAACTTTCGGTGGACCACAGGTATGTTTGAAGAGCAGTGCTGACTGCGCCCCAAGCTTGTGCTATGGAAATGTTCTTCACGTTACTTACATCTTGTCTTTCCCCACTCTCTTCAGGGTCAACCAAGTTTTAGTGCATATATAACATATTACCGAGCCGAAGATGCTATGCGTTCCATAAAAGATCTTAATCAGAGCACCTTACATGGGAGACCGATCCGCGTATCACTTGGAACCACGAAGTACTGTAGCCAGTTTTTGAGGGGTACGAAATGTACCAAGCACGTAAGTTCCATAGTTATTAGTCTGATAGTGTAAATAAAAGTCATTCCTACTCTTTGAAGTACGGTATTGCGTCAATAATTGTATATGTAACTGTTATTTAATTTCATATAACTAGGTTATATTAGTTCAAATCCGAAACGAAAAATTAACTATCTGTTTCCTCTCGTATGGTTCAAAAACCTAAAGTTCTTTCAGTGAACCGCTTATGAATAACGAATAGTTTTAAACTAATGTACCGACTTTATTAAGTTAATACTTTGTGTCGTTTGTTTATCGCATTAATCCTTATCGTGTGTCCGACCGAATTATGGAAACTAAACAAAATATTGTTTAGTTTTTGAAGCAGCTATCTCCATATATATATTTTATTTGATTTGAGATAGGAAATTGTCGAAGTTTCAGTAAACTTATCGAATTTACTTCTAAAAAATCCTATGCTTACTGTGAGGGTGCCGAATTTGAACCTTTTCATTCATTTGGAAACATTGGAAATTTGTCGTATAGAAAAATACTGCATTCTTGATTGACACTTGATATTCCAAACAACTTTTCTAGTCCTTAAAATGTGCGATACTACCTGTTGTATTCAACCACCTTGATAATAGCGGGATTGTTTATCATGATGACCCGTATGAGCTATATTTGCTTAAGTATATGTTCCTTTAGATCCTACCATGCCAGACAGGTTGATTGGAAAACGGTAAGACTAAAAGCAGCAACCTAAGGTCTGAGGGCAAAGTCTCACTGCTGACTGTAATGAGGTATGACAGTGGTAAGGTGTTTTCCTGGGACAGCCATCATCTGTAGCGGCACTGCTTTCTCACAAGGGTAGGGGTTCTTAAAGGTCGATCATAATGTCACACCTCACATTTCTATCTCCGACGGTAAGGTCTTTCGAAGACCGGAGTTAACACGTTAAAAACTCGCGCATGACCGGCCTCAGGCAGTTGTCCCTTGGGCTCTGCGGTCACGCTCCCATGTCGCGAAGATCAACCCTAACCGAACTTCCTTTTAAAGTCCCTCAAGAAATACTCTTCCACTATGTGATCGGCCTGGAAGTGACAACCACTCCGATAACCCTAACAGCACCCCATGTCAACTTGCTCACGATCAAACCCTTCACTCATCTCTTAATAACTCTTATATCTACGACTAACCCTTTTTGTATACTTTTATCACCACTCGCCTCCAATGCTAACGGTTTGAGTGCACGAAATAGTTTCCTGAAATCACAATCCGAACTGCATGTTGAATCCTTTAATGTTCAGACCTTGTCTGAAAAAGGATAACAGACATCTGTAGCTAGGACTGGAACCTGGTGTCATCGATGTATGCTACGCTTCCGAAATGCACATACATGGTTCGAGTACAAGCATTCGCTTGACCTCAGTTTGTCAACTTAAAAATCCCATGCGACTTACGCTTTGTGTATCTGGAAGCCCTGCTGTTGCTACCCGTGGACTCGCTGGTGTAAGTATAGCATTGAGTTCTAAAGCAGAACTGGCCCTCTGAGACTGGATTCCATCAGATAGTTGGTTGTGTGTTATCCGACTAAGTGGGATAATAAGAACTCGGAAATATAGAGATACTTACTATTTGAATAGAGAAATAAGAAGACATATTTTGTGAGATAGTACCATTTCGTGCTTTCTCGTCAGTCACATACAAGCAACATGTTATTTGTGTAAATACAGTTTTGAAGATAAGGTCAAAATTTCTTATTTAGCACGACATTCACTCACTAAAACCATGGTAAACAAAGGTCAACATACAGTTGTTTTTGAACACATAAAGTTGGACTTTTCCGACCAATCAAGATAGCTTCGAGTAGTTTCAGTGTGTGTTTATTCGTTGTCTCTACCTGCTCTCCGACTGCTTCAGATGAGGTAAAAGATGAATTTTACGAAAGCTTTCCAACCTCCTTCAAAAGCTGGGCTCTCTGATATTGTAATGGCGGCTGGTGATTTTAATGCCAAAGTTATTAGACAGCGAAACTGAAAGATACATTGGTGGATCTTATGGTGTCGTGGCTCATCGAACAGATAATGGTGGCTGTCTGTTGCATCTATGTCGAGATAACCTCCTACTTCTGGCAAACACCAACTTTAAGCATAAGAAAAGACGTCCTTTGCCATTGCGACTCCGGAAATCAACTAAATGCCAGACCCCACTAGAATACATCGCTATCAGCTAGCGATTAAGGGGTTTGATAGAAGACTGTCTCGCATTATCGGACACATGTTTAGACTCTAGTACAAGAACGCATTTGTCTGCGGTCTGCTGGGTGTAAAAAAAGACAGCAAGAAAACCGCTTAGAGTTCTAGTTAGCAATTTCAAAGCCAACAGTATATTTCAGGAGCAACTGGAAAAACAGTTAGGCAGTCATGTAAGTGATTCTCACTCCAAGGTAGCTTGCAATGATATTCAAATATAGCGCAGCATAATCTACCAGTAAGGTAAACCATAAGGTTAGGTAGGGACAGTGGATTTTCACTAGCATCCACTTAATTGATAGACTTCCGGAAACTCATTTCATCTGGCTCTAAACCCAAATCGGTAACAGTGAATGAAATCGATGTGATAATTGACAAGGAGTCCAAGTAGTTGTTTTAGCATAGTTAGTGACGAAGACTATATATACATTAAGAATATAGTGAAAGTCAATTTCTCATTTTTCTTCAACATTATCTGAATAATCTATACAGGAGGTATAAATCATCCATTAAAACTAATTGGCTCTTCATCTTTTCTAAAATGTATAACTGTATGAAGAAGAAAATTATCTCAGAAATATTTACCATTACCAAAAAAAATTGTTGGTTATGATTACGTTTATCAGATGTTGCCCGACCGTAGCTGCTACCTTGACGTGGTGGTCGGGCTTGCCTATCGTGATGACCCAACCGAGCTATATTGGCTGGAACATATGTTCCTGTAGGTTCTACCATGCCAGGCAGGTTGATTGGAGAACGATGAGACTGAAAGCAGCTACTCGAGGTCTGAGGGCGAAGTCGTACTGCTGACTGTAGAGGGGTGTGACAGCAGTAAGGTGTTTCCCTCGGACAACCAGCATCTGCAGCGATGCTGCCTTCTCACAAGGAAGGAAGGGGGGGTTAGAAAAGGTCGACCGTAGAAATGACACACCTCACCCTATCTCACAGATTCTCGTCTCCGGTTGTAAGGGTGCCCACTAAGGGCTTTTAAGAGCGGAGCTAACACTCAAAAAACCTTTCATAAAAAGGCCGTGCGTGACCGGCCTCAAGCAGTTGTCCTTTGGACTCTGCAATCACGCTCTCAGGTCGTTCAGACCAACACTAATCTATCTTCCTTTTCAAGTTCCTCAAGAAACAACCTTTCACGGTGTGGGCAGCCGAGAAGTGACAACCGCCCTTATACCCGTAACAGCACGAGAGACCAAAATTGGTCGAAATCAAATCCTTCCTTCCTGACTGACTTATTAGATGTTGAATATTTTTTATTCTATTTTTCTGTGTAACTTATTTTTATCATTTGTCACATTGTACTTAAATTAGGACTAGTTCGTCAGAATCACGTTTGATTTATGTATTATTTTGATGTTTTTTTTTTCACAAACAATTGTCGTTTTGTTTGTTTTTGTTTCAAGGAATGTATGTACTTACATGAGTTGGGTGATTCAGCGGCTAGTTTTACTAAAGAAGAAATGCAAGCTGGAAAACATACTGAATACATGAATAAGCTGTTGCAAGATTTCTGTCAGTCTAAATCATATTCAATTGATTCACAAAAAGAAGAATCAACAACAGATTCGTCTTTCGTCTCAAGTCCCAATGATGGTTCTTCAGTACCACCACCACCACCACCACCTCATACCAGTGAATCAAGCAGTAGTTATTCAAATGGACGTAATAATCGATCCAAATTCGACGATACAACCATGATGTCTGTGGACAACTCGAGTTTACAAGTTTCAGATCGATGTAGTAGTAGTAGTAGTACACAGTGTAACCAATCGAGTGTAGTATCCCTTAGAGAGGTTCGTAAATTAAGACATAATACTGATAAAGATCATTCAAATACTGCTTCAGTTCCCGGTGCTTCATTAACTGATAAATCTAAATCAAATTATAATAATTCTAGTAAACCAACTAGTTGGAATCATTCATCCTCAATGTCATCATCATCATCAGATTATTCAACTAGTCGAAGGCTGGGAAAAAACTCATATGGTACTTTTCATTTTAAGAATTCCTCCGACACTGCAAACACAGATAAATCATATTCAGAAGGAATTAAATCCACTTATGTCCGGCATCATGATTCTACACAGAATCGAATTTTACTGCCCCGATCTATCGCATCTAATCAAGTATCCAATCGTACTGAGCCTAGTTGTACCAACAATAATGGTGGCTGTCATCGTACATGGTGTCGTCCTAATTCAGAAACTTCATTAAATATGCAACCAATACTAGGAGATGAACCAGCAGATATTGATTTTGATCCTTTTCGAGAATCTCAACAAGGTTTAGCTGAACTTCTAGCTGCTGAAGTTGCACGTCTTAATGTATCTGATTCACTGTCCGATCATCATGTTTGTTTAACCAATGGATCGTCGGTTGGTATTTCACATTGTCCAAATGAATTACAATCTTCAAATTCAGATACTACTAGGTTTGCTCAAGCTAATTTAAGTGCAAATTCAGCACAAACTGAAAAATTACATTCTTGGTATTCTAATACAGTAGTAGTATCACATCATAGAAATAATCATATTGATTCGAACAAATTATCTAACGTGAGTTCAAATAATTTTACTAGTGTTTATCCTCCACCGGGTTTTGAAGAAGCTGTTGTACAATGTTATGATCAGTCTTCCGATAATCAATTTTTAACATCTACTAAAACTGATGTATTGAACTCCAATTATTCAGAATTATCCTATTCATGTCCTGAAAGCTTTGGATATAACAACAACAACAACAACAACAACGATATACATAGCACAAACGGATCCTTATTACAACCGTGTACTTTTCCTTGTAGTCTTCCACCTACAGATTCTACAGAAAAATTAATGACAAATTCTTTGTCATCATATGATGATTGGATACGAGCTAAACGTGTATCTGATCATCATAATGCTATCTATTCAGACACTTTGTTTTCATCCATTCCTACTATCCTACCAGATATTAGTAGTAGCTCATTATCATTAAAACAAGATGATTCAACTTCACATTTATCTAGTCAATTTATGACCAACATATTCAATGCTGTTTTTAATTCCCAATCAAGTATGAATAATACTAATGAATTAAATGGAATAGTCTATGACAAGTCATCAGTAAAAACTTCTTCTACTTCTTCTTCTATGTTTGATCTCAGTCAATTGGTTAATCATTTATATCATCAGTCATCTGGGTTTTCAAATGTTAATACCCATAGTCCTTCTAATCATTGGTCTACTAGAGTCAATATACCATTTGGTTATAATACACATAATGAGGTTTTAGATGCTTCTATTTATTCAAGTTCGTTAGTAGTGCCTATCTCTTCGAATACATTGAATTTTGGAAAATATGTTGGATCTAATAAAATGAGTTCTTTTCCTACTACTACTACTACTACTAATACTACTAATACTACTAGCAATGATTATCAACAACATCAGAAAATCCCGTTTAGCACAGTAAGTATTCTTATGTAATTGATTGATAATATTTTTTTTTAAAAAAAATCTTTAGACACTTACTTCTAAGTAGTAGTAGTAGTATATCTAGATGAATCTAAAAATGTCATCATTAAAATGACTTGTATAGGAGATGAATAGCTTTTGTACTCTTTGTTAATTGTTCGGCACCTGAACTAGTGATAGGGAGTAGTGAAGTAGTCGAACGTGTAGACCGCTTCACTTATCTTGGGAGTCTCATCAGTAATGCTGATGGCCTGGTGACTGACGAAATCTCAGCTCGGATATAGAAGGCTCGATTGGCTTTTGCCAACCTGCGTCACTTACGGCGTAGGCGAGATATCTGTTTACTGACTAAAGGACGAGTGTACTGTGCAGTAGTTCACTCGGTCTTACCTTATGGCTGTGAAACATGGCCGGTGACAGTAGAGGATATTCGTCGGCTACTACTGGTTTTCGATCATAGGTGTCTTCGAAGCATTGCTCGTATATCCTGGGACACTCGAGTGAGCAACGCTGGTTTTAGGAAACGGGTGCTAGGTAAGAATGGCAGATCGATTGATGAAGTACTGAAACTTCATCAGTTAAGGTGGTTGGGACATGTGTTGCGTATGTCTAACCACCGACTGCTTCGACGAGCTTTGTTTTGTGTAGGAGGAGTAGGTTGGAAGAAAACTAGGGGCGGCCAAACCAAAACATGGCAGAAATCCATGAAGTCATTGACGAGTGGACTTAGCCATGTCGGTAATTGTCGACTACTTGGTTGGGGTACGCGAGATGATAATAATCGATGGTTAGAGACGTTGAATGACATGGCTCAAAATCGTTCGCAATGGTGCCGGTGCATTTATTGTTTGTGTTCTCTCAAATCCTAATCTTCTGGATTCTTCAACCCCTCTAGTATTGACTTTCTAAACTTTTCTCACTGAATCATACTTCTTGAATAATATCTTCTAATCCTAACCTCTCCGATTACTTCTAATACCTTTACTACCTCTTCTACTATTGGATTTGAATTGACAATTACATCTGTGTGCTGATGTGGTATGGCAACATGAACTGACGTACATACGTACAAAGTTCTACGTTGCATCTGACTGACTGACTGAACAGCTTTTTTACTTTGTTAATTGTTTGAAAATATTATAAATAGATTTTAGTCAAAAATGTTGGAAATACGTACAAAATATATCTTCATTAGTCTACGAATATGCTTTATTGATGAATCTCTGGCAATTTAGATTCGAAACCACTTATCAATTATTATTTTAGAACGAATTATGTTTCTATGCGGTTTTGTAGATTTCATTGAATGTTCTCAATTGTTTAGTCAAAGGTCAGTCTCTTTTGACATTGTCATCATCTTGTCAGTAGTTTCTTTTGATTTCCATAGTCACAACAGGTTTGTGCAAAGGTTACTAGTTAGAAAATACCCGGTATAGTTCGCTCAATTATCGATTTGAACACTGTTCAATGTCTTTAATTGTTCAATGATAAACTTGAATAAAACAATCTTCACAAAACAAAACAAAACAATTTATACTTTTTTGAAAGCTGAATAGGTAAAACAACTAGTGTGGTATATGTTTCGTGTAAAAGAAAAAAAAAACTGGGTGTTAATCATTATTTTTATTGGACTAATTGTTACTTTCACACTTTATGATCAAAGAATAGGAAACAGCAGTAAAGTTGAGTTGTTGTCTGAGTAAGAAATGGTACTTTTTTTTCTCTTTCGTATAAATCAATTATAAAGATCAATACTAACTAGCTTATGCTATTCGTCACTCTCTTTATCTATGCAGTCAGTCAGTTGCAACGTAGAACTTCGTACGTATGTACATCAGTTCATGTTGCCATACCACATTAACACAGACACGCAAATGTCAAATCAAATCCTATAGTGATAAAGATAGTAGAGGTATTAATGTTGATAAAGAAGACAAGGATTTGAAGATATTATTTAAGAAGTATAATTCAGTGAGATAAGGTTAGAAAGACAAAGGTAGATGTGCTGACGAATCCAGAAGATTAGGATTTAAGAGAGCTCAAAGAATGGATGCACTTGCGTCATTGCAAACGATTTTGAGCCATGTCGTTCAAGGTCTCTCTCTAACCATTGGTGACTTTCGTCTCGTGGACCCCAACCAGGTAGCCTACATCTACCGACATGACTCAGTCCACTTGTCAGTGACTTCATGGATTTGTGTCATGTTTTGGTCCGGCCGCCCCTAACTTTCTTCCAACCTACTCCCACGCCACAGTCGGTGGTTAGCAATACGTAACATATGTCCCAACTACCTCAACTGATGAAGTTTCACTACTTCATCTATTGATCTGTCATCCTTACCTAGCACCAGTTTCCTAACGACAGCATTGCGTACTCGGTCGTCCCACGATATACGAGCAATGCTTCTTAAACATCTATGATCGAATACTAGTAACCTACGAACATCTACTCTTAACGGCCATGTTTCACATCCCTATAGTAGAACGGAGCGAACTGCTGCACAGTACACCCGTCCTTTGGTTAGCGAACGGATATCACGCGTACGCCATAAGTGACGCAGGTTGGCAAAAGCCAATCGAGCTTTCTGTATCCGAGCTGAGATTTCGTCAGTCACCAGGCTATCAGCGCTGTTGAGACTCTCAAGATAAGTGAAGTGATCAACATGCTCGACTACTTCACTACTCCCTATCACTAGTTCAGGTGCCAATGCAACCCAGTGTTGGAGCAACACTTATCTATGCATCATGCTTTCTTGCACATTTCTCGAAATCACTTTTCCTTATTTCATGTTCTTTAATATATATGTACAGAATGTAGATTGTAGAATATGCCCAATTTGTATTCCACCCATTTGAATCAGTTTGAATGTATCAAAATCAAAATAGGATATGGAAAACATTTTCGAATGTATAGTTCTAATTGTCAGTTTAAAATTTTATCATTTTACATATCCCATTGTTTAATTGTGTTCCTAGCATTGTGCCGTTCGTGAGTGTATATATCCCACCAAACTGACCAAATTAATATTATAGTCAGAGACACAAAAACAACTAAATGACTAGGCAACTGATAAATACATCACATCAGTTTAGGTTTTATTATGTCTAAGGAACATCATCACGGGAATTGAACTAAGAAAAAGGAGACGATACAGATGTAAACCATCTGTATTTTTTTTTCGAGTAATGCCTAGTAATTACTTACTACTAAACAGGCCTTCCTTTTTTTTCTTACTGTCCTGACCGTAGTTTTTACCTTGACGTGGTGGTCGGGCTTGCCTATTTTGATGACCCAACCGAGCTATATTGGCTGGAATATATATTCCTGAAGGTTATACTATGTCAGGCAGGTCGATTGGAGAACGATGAGACTAAAAGCAGCTACACCAGGTCTGAGGGCGAAGTCGTACTGCTGACTGACTGCAGAGCGGTGTGACAGCAGTAAGCTGTTTTTCTTGGACAACCAGTATCTGCAACGATGCTGCCTTCTCACATGTAAGGAACGGGTTAAAAAAGGTCAGGTCTAAAAGTGTCACACCTCACCTTACCGCACAGATTTCTGTCTCCAGCGGTAAGGGCTACCTAATAAGGGCTTTTAAAAAAAGCGGATCTAATAATCTAAGAACCTCTCATAAAAAAACCGTGCGCGACCAGCCTCAAGCAGTTGTCCCTTGGACTCTGCGGTCACACTCCCAGGTCTCTAAGACCGACACTAATCTATATTCCACGGTGTGGGCAACATTTATGGCGTTTCGTAAAACGACCAATTAAGTAGTGTTCGAGTTTAAGGTATTCAGTAAACATGATAGATCGATTGGTGAGGTCATGAATCTTTATTTACTCAAATAGTTGGAACATGTGTTATGTGTATGCTCAACCATCCTTCACCTTAACTCATGATGTGTTGGCTAACGTCGAAGTAGATTGGAAAAATGCTCAGGATGACCAAATCAATACATGGCGTTTGTCCATAATGACATTGATTGTTAGACTGAATCATGTTGGTTTGAAGGCTGCAACATAACTACGACTAATGGCTGTAGACGTTGGACGACATGACTTGGAGTTGATCACAATAGCACAGATGCATTTATTCTCTGTTTATCTTTGTCCACATACCCAGTGCTGATATTCTTTCATGCACAGCTTTTCTGGAATCGTATTATCAATGCTTAGTTTTTTCTGTTCATCTTTGCTACGACATTATTTCCGTCCGTTTTGCTATTCATCTTATTCCATCTTGTCGTGGTAATGTGGTATGACAACTTGGTCCAACACTACATTTTTTGTTCCAGGCTCTTTGTTGTTTGTGGTTGACTGTTTATTATCTTTTGTGGACTGTTCACCATTTATGTGTAAGTATATTGATCACATGATAAAAGCATTATGAGTTTTCGCTGTGAGTTGTTATTTATCCACTTTTTAAATCGTATGATCAAGTTCATCACCACTTGCTTCGGAAGGTCGTTTCACATCGTTTCCATTCGTTCTCTGCACATTTGTTTTTTCGAGATTCGTTATTGTATTCTCGTTGTAAGTGCCGATGCATTGTATATCCTGCATATAACAGCTAGACTAATGTTGTAACAGAGCTTAAGTTAACGCAGATTGACATAAGCGTCTTTGATTTTCGCTATACATACATTGATATTGCCTGTCAGTACCCAAAGAGCTACTTATTTACACGAACTTCAGTATCATATTCCCGAATTCGCAGCTTAAAGTGTCTGTCGAAAAACTACCTTGCATTCTAAACGTAAAAATGTACATATCGTACGAACACATATTACTCATCCCTAATTTATTAATTACAATTTCGTTATTTTTGACATGTGAATCAATGTCATATCTTTTCCATCCAAAGTGATAAATTTCTCATATTCTCATGGCTTAAATCTTAACCAGATTAGTTAGATGTCGATTGATCCATTCGTTATACGCTTGAATATAATTCGGCCAGACCAAAACATGACACAAATCCATGAAGTCACTGA